GTAAATAACTCCATAACTTTAAGGCCAGTAACTGGAACTAGACCTGCAGCTGCTGTTATTATGGTAGAAGCAGCAACAGCAATGGAATTAATTTCTGTGTAAGTGTAATAACTATATTTGCACAACCTGAAAATCTTAATGTAATTCTCACAATCAGTTCATTAAATTTAAGCCTAAATAAGATAATGTACAGGAAATGACCCAGAAACAGTCTGATTGTATGAGGGCCATCTGAAGTGAAGTCTGAAATTATATATGCATTAGTAATGCAGCTCATGTACGTATATGCATGGGCACAGCCCAAATGACGTGGAGAGCAAAGCAGTATTCATGCATCTGGAATTCTCAATCAGCCAGTAAAACATTTCAAAGAAAATCTACTTCAATTATTAAAATTTATGATATGCAGATGATCTCCCACCATCTCCCAGTCACCACTAACAGTGTCAGCTAACATCTTTCCTCATGTAACTGTCGTTACAATAGAGGCTAGTTGAATTCATTATTGCATCTTTCATCCATCAAACTATTATATCCCCTAGGAAAACTCTCTCACAAGAACTAAAGAGAAAACTTGTTTTGACTTTGTGTTTAGTTTCTGAAAATTCCACTCATGCTACCAGCAGATTCAAGAAACTGGCACATCCCATTCCCCATAAATTTTGAATAATTGCTCTCACAAACTTACACATGTGAAAAATCTCAGGACTGATTTTCCTCACATATAGTCCGAATAAAAGAAAACACTCTTCTGCCTGCTGCAGACAGCAGTGATGAGAGAATGGAATTCAAACTCTACTTTAACGTTTTAACTGGATGGCAAAATCATATTTTCTACAATTAAATATTGTATGAACATGGAATTGGAAGAAAAGACATCCAGTATATAGTAGTATATACTGTAAAATGTATTTTAAATCATAAATAGGTTCAGGAGTATGGTATAATGATGAATGTTCTCTGTTTCAGAAAATATTGTAGTTGTCACCTTTATGGTTAATGTAGTGGGGGGAGGGTTGGAAGCAGTGGGCATTACATTACACATGAAGCTGCTACTAGACAAAATAGAGGCTTAGAGTTGCTATGCAATAGGAAAACTTTGTGGATAGTAAAAGAGAGTGCATGTTTCAGAGTTCAGTGGACTTCAAAATTTATGATGTTCTACTGACTATGTTGTTATTAAACAGAGATGATAACATGTTTTGTAAACCAGGTTAACCTAAAAGGAGGTTATGGGCTGAACCAACTGCCTTATTTTCTTCATTAAATATTGAGTGTTTGATCTGGTAAGTGGGGCAAAATTTTATTATGTATGCATAAGTAAGTAAAAAAAAAATAATGTAACTCAATGTTTATAGAAGGTGAACTGTGCATGTATTAAACCTATTTACAGTGATAAAGTTGCCAGAGCCTCATCAGTGAGAATACGGTGCACCAAGAGAAGGTGAGGATTAGTGTTGGATAGGTGATGCTTGTGAGAGAAGCTGCAATGTTAATAGTATTGTAGCATAGACAGCCATTGCTATGCAACAGGCAGACAAACAAACACCCACTTCTATGCAATGGTCCAGGTATTGTTAGACTATAACAATGGATATGGTGTTTTCTATGTGGTCTATGCTGAGATGTTGTGAGCAGGATGTTCAATAAATCCAATTACCAATCCAACCCCCGTGTCTAGTCACTAGTCAGTGACAACATATTTAAAACACAAGCCATTTTTGAAACAGGTTCCACTTGTGCCATCAGATGTCAGTGAACAAAGGATCCTACTCAGTTGAGTCTATTAGAAGGAACTTGTCTATCACTGCACAATGAAGGAAGTTCTAAGCAGCATATATTTTTTGCTACCATCATTTTTCAGAGTTCTTGATGTAATCCTGAAGACTGCCAAGTGGTTTAAATGCTCAAACAGCAGGCTGTCAAATTCAGATATGGAGTGGCTAAACCTAAATGCTGTTGTTTGTGTCTGCTGTACTTGTCTCTTTGTGAGCAAGTAGTTCGAGTTTGAACACAACACAAAATTTAATACAATCAATCATTCTTGAGAACATGCAACCCTCTCTGACAGTCTGCTTATTATGATATTTACGTGTTCTATCATACTGTTTGTCAATGTTAACACTGCCCAACATAGCTAAACCTGCTGCACTCTTAATATGCACCTACCTCTTCTCACATATGTTTAATATCAGTCATACCCACTTTCATGAGGCTCTGTTCTCCTTCAAGCAGTATGCGAGGAAAACAAAATTAATACTTCTTTATGGATAACCAAAAGGTTCTGTAATTATATTTCTTATTAAAACATCGATTTGCGTGTTTAATTAAACCTTTAAGCATAGGATATGTGATCTGCATGTCTGACATGCTGATTTTTTTTATTGTCATTTAATAATGCTACCAGTATTAAGACTATACAATATCAGATGAGTCATTGTATTTGTAGCTTTTCTTCATATTACCTTGAAGTGAAAGACAGTTTTAAACACTTCATTTTTATATGGGACTCTAATTACATATAAGCCTCCTCATTTGACGTCAGCCAGTATTACGGTCATATCCCTACTGTTATTCACACTAAATGACACACATTTAAATATAAAATGAAAGAAAATTTACTAAATTCTCTGTTTTCCACAGGTACTTCCTCCATACCGGCTCTGGGTTCAACCCAGCTTCCTATCCAATGGGTACTAGGGACTATTTCCCGGAGGGGGGGGGGTTAAGCAGCCGGGCCATCAAACTGACCATTCACCTCCAGCTAGTGCCAAGATCAAGAAAATGTGCATCTACACATTCACTCCCCATATGCCTTCAGGGCACAGTGCTTAATTAGTTAAGCACAGGGACAACGTTACCTTTTACTTTACTTCTCCACTGAAAAACAGAATACACACAAATCACGCATCAATAATACAAAATGACAAATGAAGCATGTTACTGCTGTAACTCATTTAAGTATAGTGGATGGGTGAAGCAGGAGGTTTAATCATCAAGTGGTAGGGACTTAGAGTGTAGTACCCTATAAGCCACATATTTCTGTAGAAACAACAACCTCACTGCACCATCCTTGCGCCAACAAACTAACATATGAGCTGGGTTCTTTAGTCACTGATGGGGTAGTATAACAAGTAGGCTGAAAGTACATTCTTTCTTACATTCAGGGGCATCAGCTGCAGATGTTCTGTGACTCATCATACATTTACATATTTCATTCACACATGAGGGTACATACTGTAAACATGCCCACACCAAAATAACAGTTCTAATTTCAGGTGGCACACTGCCCAGAGAAGCCTAATGGATCAGCTGACACTACTTAGTACTGAGCAGATGACTGGATATGTAATGTAACTATGCCCCAGTGTATGTCAGATTTCCACATACACTAGTTTTGCATTGGTGTAGTCACTTTTGTCTGGGAGCACATCAAGGAAGAGAAGTGTTTGAGATAGTCAAATGTCAGCTTTAAAACACTGTGTTTAGATTGGACTTGCCATGTGATAGTATGGCAAATATATCATCAACACATCAGAACCAGATTTTAGGTTTTAAGTCAGTCTGCTATAGCACAGCCATTTTGAAGTTTTTCATGAAAATGTTGCCTATTATTGGCGAAATGGGACAACCCATTCCCACATCTAAGATGATCAAGAGTGTCAAATATAATTATACAATTCAATTGACAAGATATAAAGAGGTAAAGCTATGTGTGTAACAGTCTGTCGAGGGCCATAGGGTTGTGAGAGGTCGAGGCTCCCACATTTTATACACAGTCAGCTCACAGATGGTGGTCAGTTTGCCAGGCTTACATGCTGGCCACCCTTTACCACCCAGGAAGATTCCTGGTACTCATTTCTGTCAGAGGCTGAGTCAAACTCAATGACCTCATTGGGGATCAAACCTGCGACATTCAGGTTTGTAGCATAGTGTCTCAACCAACTATGCTACCGCATTTCTGGATAAGATGTACACAGACCATATAAAGCACAGCATCACATCTTTCCATCCAAACCCGACACTCAACCACCACCACTGAACAACCACTGAACTTAAATTGTGACAAAGTATAAAGTGGGTGCATTGAACTTCATCACTTCCCTTCCTATCTATACATAAAGTAAATACTTCTTGCACCCAACACTATTTGGTACTACCTTTCCTAGATCCTAATTATGTGGTCACTAAACCCGTTTTCACTGTCTCTTTTCCTTGACAAATGGTTACTAAAAACTTTTCAAATCCCCTTGTCTTAAACACAATGTTGCTGAAACATTTTTTATCACATATTTTCAGGATAATCTGTCCATCATCTCTTTTCAAGTCTGCCTGAACTTGAAAACATTTTCTATCACCTCTTCACTAACTGCATGGTTGAGACCTGTTTAATAGCACAACAATGCTCTGTTTAATTCAGTCATGGTTTCACCTCCAACTCAATTACAACTATCAGCTATATACAGGGACTTCCAATAACACCCCCCCAGCATATTAACTATGAAGATGACAAAATATTTGCAAAGTAAAAATGAACCTTCAACATTCTAAGTGGTTTACTTATAAAAAATGAAGTCATTCACCAACTCCAGCTGGAAAATCTAAGGACAAGAGTTCATGCTATTAAAATTTAATTTTTATTTATTATTTTGCAACATTTTTTTGCTTTTTCACTGTCCTACTCTCTGTGAATATAACTCAATATTTGAGAATTAAAAATTAAGACACCAATAGTGTGACGTTAAACCTGACAGGAACAATATAATCTATTCAAAAATAGAATTTAAGATTATGACTGGAAGTGGATGTATGTTGAAAGAAGCTGCTTCTGCCATATTGTAGTGTTTGAGATAGAACTGAATTCTCTGTTACTGCACGCAACAAAGATTCATTCCAATCTGTCTTATTCAGAAACTGTTTGGTTTAGTTGAGGTTCAAAGTGAATCAAAAGAGAGAGAGAGAGTAAAGCAGGCAGGCGATTGATCATGGATGTGACATACGTGTTCCGGAGAGGGGTCGGGGTTTGGACCGGGCGTTCTCTTGTTGCCGGTTCGGAGCTGGGAGTGGAGGCTTCCCGCTAGCCGGGCCGCAAGCTGAAAAGATCACATGACAATTTGTCTGCCTAGCATATTAGAAACAGCTGAATTATTCATGACAGTTTCTGTAAGTCTTTTATCTGATTAAATTTATTTTGCTAATGGTTTTGGTGATATTCAAGTAAGTATTTCTGTATTTCTATCGTTTTATTAATGTAAAACATTAAAGTAAAATAAACAGCATTTTTCATAACTCGCAACACCATCGTGACAACTGTTTACTGTAACCGCCCATTTTGTTTGTGCAATATATGTAGATATGAGGTAACTTACTTCATTAGAAATGAACTTATTCCACAATACTGTGTTTAGATGTAATGTTATTCATAGTCTCTGTTCAACACTATTATAGAAACATGTAAATGGATGTTAAGAATAAAATAAAGTCTTTTTGGAGCTGAGTGGGTAGAGCTTCCTTCACTGTGAGAAGTTCCCACAGTCTTTTATATTCAATGTATTACATTCTTACTTTAAGACATAGAACAGTTATTATTAAGACATTAAGAAATAAAAAAAAACAACTAAAGAATCATGCAACAAAGAACAAATTCCTACTAAAGGGGAAAGATGTATACATTTCAAAAACTTCTGTCAGCTGCAAAATGTTTAACAACAGAAAAAGGGAAACATTCGAAGAGCTACTAGAAAAAAAATTCTTGGGCAGGAAGTTACAGACCAAATATTTCATTCAAAGTAAAAAAATTAAATATTCTGGATACTGTAGCTAAAATGTTTTAATGTGTAGGTTCTGTGAATATATTTACCAGAAATACCATTCTCTTTCAACTTCTCCATCATGCTGAGACTGATTACTTTACAGTTACAATTTACTACTATAGCAATAAGATAGTATCTCGTAACAAAAGATCTAATTATGGAATATAATTAAGTATTTTGAGGAATTAGATGATTCTCAATTTATAATTAAAGAAAATAATGACACATAAGATACTATCACCAAATGACCAACATGAAATCTTTCTATTACAATGTCACAAGAATCCAACTCTACCAATTACTGCACAAAGAAAACAAATTAACTTATTTAAGTTACAAATTTGTCCACCACGTATCAAAGGAAAGAGAAATATAAGAATATATTTATCTATGAATGTAAAAGTTAAGGTGTGTAATTGTGTAAACTAACATTTACATATCATCTTGCTGCAGTCCTTCATGTCAATAACGTGTCTTCTTCAAAACAACTCGTATACAGGACCATCAACATGGAGCACACTCACCATCCCAGTAGTTGCTGGGAAAATACTTCCATTTATCTCACATGTATTATTCACTTAACTAAAAAAATAAATTATAAAATATGTCAAATATAATTAATATTTTCTATAAGCATAATGGACTGTAGTCTTTTCTCTAATCATACTGGCTGATTTCAGTAATATTGATAACTACGTGTATTTCACAAATCTTATATTACCTTCTGTTTTAGAGAATAACAAATACACTTGGTCTATGGTAAGAAAATATATTTTAAAGGGTTTTTGCAATGGTGTATAACACCTGGGACTAATTGGTTTTTGGACTTCGTCCATTTTCTAGTATTCTTAAGTATACAATGCTTTGAAAACTGGATCTGTTTCTGTCCTCAAGTGAGAGGGTGTGGCACACCTACTCTGTGGGGTCCATTAGAAAGAGAGTATCTCATTCACTGGTTTAGTGTTTGAGGTTTCTAACAGACCATAGAGAGTAGGTGTCCCTCACCCCCTCTCCTGAGGATGAAAACAGATCCAGTTTAAAAAATGTTGTGTTTCTTACAAAACTGAATGATGCACAAAGTCCAAGAACCCAGAATCCTGAGTGAGAAAGTATGTTTGAGTTTACAGCATATGCATAAGACAAATATAAGCAACATCCACCATCATGGAGAAAAATGGCTGATAATACACTCAATCAGTTCTTGATAACAAGTGTATTTATCCAAATAACAAATATTTCAATTTAAATATAAAATGGTAGATAATTTAAAATTCTTAGTGCAAGAAAACAGCTTGAATCAAGGCTCCTGTTAATTTAATTATTACTCAGTTCACAGAAAAACTGCTCCAGCAATTTTCAGAATGCAGTCTAGTTGGCAAAACACACATAAAATCATCTGTAACCATACTAACTTTACCTTACCTTACCATTTTGTTTTATGATGTTGGCCACTGATGCAATACCTAACATTTGAAACTTTAGACAGGTACAGTTAGAAGCTTCAGATCTTTCATTACAAACTCCCAGAATAAAACAGTATTCTTTAAATGCTTCTCTGGAGGCAAAGTTGCATTTAATAAAAGTCTCATAATGAAGGGAAGGAACTCAGTGAAAATGATGATTATGATTTTTCTAGCACACTGAGTATTCAGCAGTGTTGTAGTTCCGTTAAATATGTATAAACATAAATTCTAGAGTCTGTAAAATTATTGGTCCTTAACAATCTTGAACATCTGGGACAATATTGCTCCACTTGAAATAAATTAGAGCTTGATTTTCTTCTACCTACCATCATCTGTCATACATTACACCTCAAAGTATTCTGAGGGACAAGGTTAGGAATTGGAGTGGTGAATCAAAATATTTAACATTATATACACCAGAGGCAAATTCAACAAAGTTAATGTTAGGAATCCTACATTTTGGTATCAGGCATGTTTCCAGAGCATAGAATGATGATACTTGTAAGACTCAACAAATTATCTTGAACATATCCATCTCATAAACCACAATGAAGTTCTTTTGACAATTAGTATCAAGAATAATTTAAAAAGATCTATTCTGTCACACCACCTTTTTAACAAAACTGGCATTCATTTACTCATTGGTCAAATATAAAATGACTGTTTTCATAGTAACTTAAAACTAATACTTTAAATGTGAAACTAGCAAGTACATACATCTCACCCATAATTAGAACAATTGTGCAACTGAGCAGTTCTTTAAAATTATTCTTAATAACATATTCATACTGTGTACGATTTTAGTTGTGTGATTTCTTTTTCTTCAAATTATTACTTTAAACCTCGATTCAAAGAACTATCTTACAGGTAGTACACCTCCAAATTCAATTAATTTATATTTAATGTAAATACACCAGGAGTGATCATAAATTTAAATATATTTTCTTTTAATCATAGTACAACATCAACCGCCAATTTTCTGTTTGATCAAATTCCAATTTAAGCGAATGCTCATGGTGTATGCTTCTTAGACAACACACTTCTTATAACTACTTACTGGGACGAGGGCGGCGTTCAGTTTGCACAGGTCCATTCATCTTGTTTGGTTGGGTAGTTGTTGCTAATGGAGTTCTGGGTTGACGTTTTGGGGAACGATTATCACCAGTAAGACCCACTGACTGTGAACGAGCTGCAACATTGATACATACCTGTCATATATGTGAACTGCTGAAGATTCCATTAATTGTGAAACCTACCATCATGGTGCCAAACAGCTTGACTGTTCCTTCCAAAGAAAACAGAAACCACTATCTGAAATGCAGTACTGAATAATTTATGGTTCCTAGTAGTGAAAGGAAATGCTGAGTGCATTGCAATGAGACTGGGCACGCAAGAATCACGGAAAGAATGTTGAATGGCATGATCTGAAACACATGCATAACTCTGGGGATGAAAAGCACAGATGCTGCAATTTATGAGTTGGAATACTGAGTTTATAAACACTGAAATCAAGCATAAATACATGTATAGTCAAATGGCTTGCTGGAGAAGATATTTATGAACTAAATAAAGGATCAGATTCTGGAATGAGGTACCTTGAAAGAGTGTGCCTACCAGAAAAAGATATTATGGAATGGTACTTGAGAATGAAAAAATTGTAAAATTGTCTTAAGTAACTAAAAAATATACATCATTTGTACACCTACCACACCACCAGCAGAGTCATATCTCAAGAAAGGACAAATACTCACACACAATCTGCCTTCTGTGAGAAGTGCAGATGCCACTCAACAACTGTACAGACGTGAAATCACAAAGAGGTATTATGAATTTTGACAATTCACAAGAACACAATATCCTTATTTTGACAGAAATACTGGTATTTCATACATTAAATATGAAAATAGCCTGGCTCTCAATGAAGCACAGAAAGTAACCTTATTGAGAAACCATATATTTGACCATGATAAAAACACGGTAGTCAAATACATGGTGTCTCAGTAATATTATTTTCAATGGGGGGNTTAACACATGTTTTTTGATCTATTTTAATGATTATAAACTGTACATATATATTTATATTTGTATTGTACTATATTAACTATGTGACTGGTTCTATATCTATGTATATGGATTTATGGAATATACAATAAATGAATGAATGAATTAGATGACATGTAATTTGATAGATATTTACCAGAATTTTGGAAGACCTTCAGGGTATAATTTTCTAATCTGAAGATGGACACATAATATCCCAGATTGTTGATAAATATATCAGACTACAAGGCCTCACACCCAGGAGACAGTAAAATTTATAATCAATACTGAGAGAGTCTTGAATCTCACATAGCCATTTGCAACATGTTTGCAAGAATACAGTGGTACAGTTTTAGTCTGAATTTTTAATGCCCACCATGATGACCTATATAAAGGCACTGGATTCTTTTAAATAAATGTGGTTATACCAATTCTGAATTCCTCAATAAGACTCAAATTGCCACATATTCTACTGTACCTTTCCATTCACACAACTCTGCTACAGTACATGCTCTCTCTCGCCCACACTGTGTGAATGCAAAGACTGCGGTTGATCCCAGGTCAGTACTTACGCAGAAGACATGAAGAACATCACTCAGCCAGGTTAACTGGTCTCACACCCAAGATTTGAATCTGGGGCCTCCTGACCAGATATCGCATCAACTGACACTGAATAAGCCTGTTCCATAACCAATTCAGCAACTGATACGTTATATCAGTTATATGAAAAAGTAGCACAACTGGCTCTGCATCATGTCAAATGACCATTTTTCAATGTATTTAAAAATTATATCACTCAATACAACTGCAAGAGCATTTCTTCTTGTTAACTCACATGTCTAATCACATGATACTTATGTTTGAATAATCTATGTGAAGAAATAATACTGAACAGATAACAGTGCTTTAATGCTTTGCTGTAAGAGATAGTGATTAATTATTTCAATTCATTTCTAATGTGATACATCAGTTACATGTGTAAAAATCTCTAAAAGTCTATATGACTTAATTACCCTATATGTGGGTTACATTATCAAAAAAGAAAAAGAAAACCCAAAGCATTTCAGTCCTGGAAATCTACAGCTGATTCTTGAGCGGCTAAACATGCAAAAAACAAGCATATGTCAAGTAATAAAACCATAGTACAGAAATGTATTGTGTTTGGGATCAGGTTAATGCCATCTACATGTCACAAGAGATGCACATGTGGAATCTTATCAATGCAAATTCTAAGTATATGTCATCATTTCAGTTTTTGTTTCATTCAATTATGTTATTTGGTTTTGAAAAATATAACTGTGAATTACCAAAGATATTTTTTGGATATCATTTATAACAATATACAAGCATGTAACGAGCCTATTTTTAAGGCACATCAAGTTGGAATGAAGTTCTCTGCTCGGTAGCGGGTGATTAGTTAGTTTCAAGAACTGAAAACACTGAAAAAGGAGAATATGTTGAAATTCATGGGAAATTCTCAACATAAGTTCCTAAAAAGTATGTCAGAAATGAAAATGACAAGGGACAAAACTGTTTCAGGAAAAAGAAGACAGTGATAGAATGAACTGGAAATATATCAAATGTCACAAATGTTGATTGAAAACATGAATACCTGGAAAAACTTCTTACAGTTTAAAGAAGACTTGGCTCAAGGCCTGACAACCTAGAAGACATTTTAAAAATACGGTTAACTCATTATCTCCATTCGTGATGTACAGTTACATCACACATCATGGCAGGATCTTTCGCTTAGTGGGGGGTGGAGTCCAACTGGGTCCACTCGACACGGAGACCACTGACAGGCCTATTGTACCTGCCCCGGGTGATTATCATGATGAAGAATTTGGTGGACTGAAGATTGGCAGGGGAAACCTAAGTACTTGGAGAAAACCCGCCCCAGCGCCACTTTGTCCACCACAAATCCCACTTCACCAGACCTGGGATCGAACCCGGGCCACCGCGGAGGGAAGCCAACGACTAACCGCTTGAGCTATGGCGCGGCCATAGGAGGATCTTAAGACGCCACAAATAAGCAATTTAAAATAATGTGAAGAAAGCCCAGAAAAATTTTATGACAAAAATTGCACTGTTTCATAGTAACACTACTTCCATAGGAAAATCGCTTTAAATAATGTCTTTGAAAGATGCACATTTCTTTCTTATTCAAATTTACCTTCAATGCACAACCTTCTGACACCTACTTTGCAAGCAAAATTCAATTTCTAGAATTCTACTGGAGCAAGCACATATGCTGGCTACACAATAGAGCACTATCTATATGGCATGCGCTACAGTTCTTCTTCGACTAATGAGAGACTGATATTCACTGTTTAAGTAACTGTTCATTATTACCTGATCTGGGGCTACTTTTAGGGCTGGCTTTTTGGGGACTCTTAGGAAGATCTTCTTCCTTCTGGCGAGGTATAACTGGCTCGAGTTTCTCTCGAGTTGGAGAGGGCAACAAAGCTCCATCAACTGTCACAAAATTATTGGTATTCTCAATCTTCCTAAGCATTTCTGTGTCCAAAGTTTTATAATCAGAACCTATGACCAGGACTGTCCACAGAAATGAAGCTAAACTCACAATTTTAAGTAAATGTAAGGTACTTAATTTTAACATACATACAAGAAAATTCAATGCTATTATATGTATGTAAAACCAGTTATTCTTATGCTTTTCATATATTCTACCACAATAGAGCACTTTCATTCAAAATTTTCATGTAGACATGTTTCTCATGTTATGCCAGCCATTGTAGATAGGATCATGAGGCCAAAAACCCAAACTAAACATGGTCTTGCTTTTAATTATTACTGTAATTTAAAAAGAGGAAGAAAACCTGTTAAAGAAGCTCAAAGCACAAACAAGTCAGAAGAAACACTTTTATTATGGAAAGTTACTGATTTCACATGTTCTTATTTCAAGCTTCCTTTCTGTTCAGCAAGTCTCAATTCTGGTAGCAGATCACACACAATCTGATGTATGGGTAAGGCTTAAGAGGGTATATGTTCTTAATCATGAAGGTTTACTGGAAGATCATTTATGTTTCATTATACAGAGTAAAGCATGCAGTAAAACTGCATGAGAATTTCACTTCATTCAACCACTAACATTTCCATTATTAAAAATCACATATCTCCATTCAATTTTTCCTTTCTCATGCATAAAGTTCATATGAAAGAGTATTGTAATAGCAAAAAAAGGTATAGACTTCGAAATTTTGATGGATTTACATGTTTTCTCTTCTCTTGAATATGAATAAGTGGTGTATGGAATGCCATCTGTATGTCTGAATAAATAGATGTGCACCTCACTAGTGTCTGAAGGGTTGAAATGATTTTAATAATATTTGGAATTTACACATTTTCATTTCATAGGTCAGTGCCCAGTGAATACAAACAAAAACAGGGACCTTTCAGATGGGACCCATAAGACAGAATGGCAGTTTTCTTTAAAACAGCTACACTGATTATGATTAGATTTCAGTCCTTTATGGTGATTATCTACCTAAATAAAAGTGTATAGGTGGTACCTTCAGGAAAATAACGGTACGCACAACAAAAGTCAAACACATCAAAACAGTTCTGTCAAAACCAGCTTTACCAGTTGGCTAGATTTCATCAGTAACCAAGAGCGGCCTACCAAGCGGTAGTCCCTTTTGTTTCCGAGGAAATATAGTCAGTCACACATGAGAAAGTATGCGCGATGTCTTTGCACTGATTTTTTCTTCTCCATTTTGGAAGACCTGACTAATTATACAAACAAGAAACCTTTTTTAAGTATGGTAATGTAATTTCAGGACCTGTGAATGAAAAATCGCTCCCATACTGATATTAATTAAAAATATGAACTCAAAGAATAACAATGTTTCACCAAACTAAACACATATATTACCTGCACCAGTAGTGCGTTCCAGATGGTGTCGTATCAGGTAATCTTTTCTTGAACGTGGAATTTCTTTCTTCGTTATTTCTCCCTTCTCAGCCTGTAAAACACAACAAAATTCAATTCTAAACTATGATTATCAAATACCTAGACATACTTTAGAGAAATATAACTTCAGTGGAGGTGAGAGGCAATAATGTGAATATATATGATGGAAATATTATGCATGCATATTTCATTAAAAAAATTGTTTTTTTTTTTTAAATTAGAAACTAATATGCTGCCATATTAAAGTAGCTTCTAAGAATATAATAAAAGGATAATCAATCATAATAACATTGAAAAAGAGACACAATAGATCACTGTATGTCACGATGCAAGGGCCAAGAAGGCCCACCCCTTATACATTCATTCAACAATGAAAAATCATTTTTAATATCTATATCAAAATGTAATATGCAAACATGTGCGCGCGCACACACATTTTAGAAAAGACTGAATAAAATCTCCTTCTCATACACAATATTTCTAAATGAATATTATCAGCATTTGTTTCAGATAATAAAGACAGGTTCTGCACATCTCTTGCACCCTGCTGTATATGTGGATGAACACATCTGAAATTAACTAAGTAAAAAGAGAAGCATACACAAGTACAGACTGCTATAAACAACACTACTTACTAATGGCATGCATGAAAAGTTATGGCATGCTGTACTAATGCTTCACATATACACACAATTTGCTTTTGCTTATTTTAACTAGACTGAATAATCTGTAGTATGGCATCAGAAATGCAACAAAGACTCCATGTACAAAATGGTGCCCAAAACTAAGAAAAATTTGGTACAATTCTTAAATGTGTTGTTATTTGTACAACACATATTTGACATTATTATTAAATCCATTCAGTAGTTCTGAGTGCTGTTGATGTGATCTGTAATCACTAACTTACTAGTACAATACACACTATTTTCATTATTAATAAACTAAGCTGAAAGCAGTCGTAAAGCATAAATGCACTTGCAACTGTGATAATTTCAGCCTTTAAATAAATGGTATCCTTTATTAGCATGCATAAGTCATGTATTTGAAAGATGGAGTTATTTTGCTGAAATAGAAACAGTTTCACTAGAAAAAGTCAGTTGGTCACAAGCAAAAAATTTATTGCATGTAATTACACAATATTTAAAGAATTTTAAATAACACTGGCCACCATCACCATCTCTCAAGAGTACCAATATTGGAGCAAATGTTACATGTCTTATACAAGGCACAAATATACTGCCATACAGAAATCAGTAACATTAATAAGGAGATGTTGTTAACAACTAACAGTAATGAACTGCAGCAACCACCATGTCACACAAAGAATGTTTGTGATGTTAATTCACTTGTTTTGTATAGTGATACAAGCAAAAGAATCTTTCAATTAGTTTTCATGAAATTCCACATTTTTAAAGTGTGACATAAAGTAACAAAGCTGTTGTAATAGACATGCTACTTTATTAAATGTAAAATAGCATGTCATTTATTATGCTGATCCAAGGATGTACTGTTACAATTCATTATTTACATAATACTTTTCTTTCATTACATATATTTACCTTGCTTTTAACTTTAATTCAATATAAGATGAAAACATGAAAGGTCAGTCAAAAGGTAACTAGAACAGCCTCTGCAATCATACAGGCATGGCTCATATGCATGCTACAAAGTTACTGCAGCAGCATTACACAATTTATATAAATAATTCTTGTCTAATAATGGTATGGTTATTAAATTGTTTCTCCAAAGACAGAACATTACAGGTGGATGAAATGAGAGGACAATTGTCTTTGTGTCTTTGAGAGCTTTCTTTAAACAAATGTACCAGCTTTCATATTATGTAACTTGGCCCATTTTTATGTGACTGAGTTTCATACCATTTCTTTTTTTAAATATTGTTCTACTGGATCTTCCATTTTTGTTAGATATATGTAACACAGCTTTTTCAGAAATTCTCCATGATCATCACAAACATCACGTTTCAATAAGGCTTACTGAACTCAATGAATGATTGTGTAATGTGTTCTTACTCTCACATTCTTGAACACTGATGAAGATCCTACCTTTCTCTTGTCATTTTCCTGAAATTTATCTGGGGCTGTGGAAGGCCTCATTGGGCGACTTGACATAGGTTTAGTAGGAGAACTCTTTTTATTGTTTTCTTTCTCTTTCTCTTCTTTTGAGATTGACCTGGAAATGTAAACATTTTTCACAACAAGTTTCTTGAACAATTATACTGCTTTGTAGCCTGCTTCATTAACTGAATAAAATAAGCTATCTCACAATTCAGGAACTATATCTAATTCAGTGCAACTGTGGTTTTCTTTTGCAAGATTTTTCTCTTCTACACACTGTCCAGACCGGCTCTGGGGCCCACCTAGCCTCCTATCCAATGGTTACCAGGGACAATTTCCCTGGTGGTAAAGCAACCGAGGCGTGAAGCTGGCCACTCACCAACATCTATTGCTGAGTTCAAAAATGGCAGAGCTATATCTCTACTCCCCATATGTCTTCATGGCATAGTGCTTAATTAATTAAAGACAGGGAAAATTTATCTTTTCTTTACCTTTACCATTATGTGAATAATTTAATGTACCACAACTGAGAGCATCATAAAATACACCATGAATGTGGTAAATAAGATCTAAAAGTTTGTGATGATGGTATATTGCTACAATATATTATGTGTAAGATTTGAGGCTTTCACGGCTGTGACTATGAAGAAAGCAGTCTTCTGGGATTTGGCACCGTGTATATGTGGTGTTAACCGACGTTTCGGAGGAACGTATCGCCTCCATCTTCAGGGTAGAAGAAAAAATATACAAGAAATCTGCAAGCAGAGAGACCGTGAGAACCGGTAAAAGCAAACTGTGGAAATATACACAGCTATGTGTAGCTGTAGCACATAGCTGTGTTCCTCCGAAACGTCGGCTAACACCACATATACACGGTGCAAAATCCCAGAAGACTGCTTTCTGCAATATATTATGTTTTTGGACATCATCCATCGTCTTGTTTATTTTCTAAAACCCGTCTTGTTTCTTTTTGAAATCATAACATTTTGGAGACTGGATTCTATTCTCGTCCTCAGGTAAAACCTACCCAATTGGGTCCAATAGATTGAGCTAGCCCCTGTCCCCGGACCAGGTCAAAACATTACAATGCACCAGCAGACACTCAACTCTGGACAAGTGGCAGCATGCATCTTGCCAATGTGTGTACCAAAACAGAAAACCGCCCTTACTACATGCATGATACAGTACAGCTAGTCGAGGAGAGTCAACACTTATTTTGTGAACATCCAGTCTGTGTGAAATGGAAATACAGAAATACACATAAATGTATCCTTTTATGTGATTGTTAGGAATATTAAATGATGGAATACCGTTAATTAATTAGGGTATAATGAAGATGGTTCCTTCTAATGTAATATTTCTTATATTTCTGGCGACTTCTCTCACATTCATATTGGATTGAGAAATAAGTTACCCTGAATAGCATTTCACATCATTTTCTTCCATTATTCCAAGTTTGGGATAGTATTGCATATAGCAAGGACTGCAGCACATCCATTCCTTACCAATTAATAATTACATTTACAATTCTGTCATTTCCTTTGGCCTGCAGCAGAAGGGTTTGTCTAAAAAGTTACATGTCAGTCAATACAACTGATATTATCTCAAATCAACGCAAAAGACCTTACCTGGGTGCTGTGGAAGCCAGAGAAAGAGCTGAGAGGGAGCTGCGACGAGATACTTGTTCCCAGAGTGCCATCTGCTTGTTGTAGAGGTCAGCAATGTGCTGTGGTACTAGCTCTGTCCCCCAGCCTCGATGCTACAATCGATGGTTATGTTAGACTGGATTTCACACACTGCTATATAAGAGTCTATAGAGTTACTTACAATTACACATCAATAAAAATTACACATATACATACAAACATACTTCTGGGTTCAAGTGTGTCTTTTTGAGGCGCCAAATAGACTTTCTAGTCTGACATGTTTTCATTAGATAAAACTGTAATACAAGTGCTGTGAAGGATATTCCAATTTTTATTTAGATTATTTTACTTTCTTTTGTCACTAATATCATTCAGTTATTCAGTATAGAGGGGGTGGGTTTCCCCATGCACCACGACTAATAGTCTATTGTACGTCCCCCTTTAATTTCTACTGTTGCCATACCCTACCGATATTGGTGACTGCTATCTCCCCTTTCTGCCAGGGAGGTCGGCCCTCTACTGGCAGTGGTACCCGATAACTTCCCCATCTACCGGAGGCATTGGAAACTACTTGGGCGGGAAACATTTTTCACTAATATCATACACACAGCCCTTGTCAATATAGTTTCATTAAATGCTGCAAGTCCATCTACCAATCCATGTATTCTGATGCAGCATGGTTATTATCAAACTCTTTGCTCACTCCTTCCACTCTCAGATAAGTAAGGTAAAGCATGGTAAAGTTTTCCCCATGCTTAATTAATTAATTAACTAATTAAGCACCATGCCATGAAGACATATGGGGGAGTGGTGGTACATCTCTACCGTTCTTCACCTAAGTACTAGATGGAAGTCAGTGGCTAGCTTCACAAGACCCTAATAATATTTTGTAACATCATGATTGAATTTTAGGCTTAATTTTGCAAGCAAACACTATCCTACATGGTATTATATACTAAATATGAGTTCTACTAATTTTGAACCATGTGGATCTGTTTTCACGATATTTACTGTATAAGGCAAATGCATTTTTTCTTTGCCATCACATTCCAACAGCCCCTGGTGTCCAGTCAGCCTTTAATGGGTAATGGGGTTTTTTTTATTTTTAAGCTGACCACTTATCTCTGTGTGTTACCCAGATTAAGAAATGAGAGCCTTTGTTTTGCCTTCAATGAATGGTAATTAGTCACAGGGGCAACTTAACCTCATACCTTACCCACAATATATATAGAATTATAGAGAAAGAAAAGGAGAACAAATAATGTCTTTACAATTTTGCAAATATTATGATGTCTGCACCTCTGACATTTGCACATCTGCCATGTAAGTTATTGCTGAGGACACGAACTGAAAAATATGATGTATGTTATGAACTCCAAGTGGATGATTTTCTATTCAATTCCACAAAAACTGAACAGTGATGGAATGGCACAAGTGCCTTATTGTGTCAGGTTCTAATACATTCCTTGACAATTCACAGATATACTCTACACAGTTAAGTAGAGGAGTACATAGCAAAAAATCACCATATCTCAGATTTCAGAACACAAGTGGTAGACATACAAAAGGTCCAGAAATCAGAAACAATTTTTATTTGTTCCATGTAACAATGACAAATTACATGGGACACATCCGATTATATACAAAATATTACTGACATTTTCAGAACATATTTGGCGAAACTGTACATAACTAGGACAGAACTTGGCATAGACCGAAACTAGGTAGATCGATTACACAGACAAATTTCACATATTAGGCAGCTACAATGATTAGATGGACAGATAGATTGAATGGAGTAGATAGATCAGCTTGATTAGGTAAATTAATTAGACAGATAGCCTAGATTACACAAATTAGGTGGGTAGATGGGTGGGCAGGTGGCTGGATCAGTAGGATAGACAGACAGATAGGTAGATAGACAGAGAAAGACATGGCAGACAGACTGATCGATGAGCAGCCCAACAGACTGAGAGACTTGTTCTGAGGTACTGTCCTGGTATACAAGTGACAAGATGGCTGCCCATATTCCTCCCAATCTGATACTCAGTTAAACAATATTTAGGCTGCGTTACTCTACAGCAGCATTAAGAAATTTGCAACTCAAAAATATACTACTGAACAGATTGTCATAGTGGTACGTATCTAGGCCCAAATTGAGTTGTTCAGTCTTAATCATGGCTAAGACACTGGCTATCCTGACTGAGGTTTTCAATGGTTTCTCTCAGTCCTGTCTGGCAAATTCCAGGGTAGTACCTCAATTAGGCCATGACTACTTTATCACCCACCTGTCATGCTACTATTCGATGATATATAGCATAGCCAATAAAATACCACACAAACAAAAAAGCTTCTTAAAAAATGAGTAGTTACAGTTTATTAGCACAGAGAAAACACTACACTTGAATATAGGCCAACTGGAATCACCTTAATTACTTAACAGCCATGACAATTCTGTTTGTATTACATGTCAAGGTTAATAGAGATAAATATTTTATGATAATCTGTATGATCCATGTTACATCAACTGTCAGATTTTTGTTATCTGGAAGAAGTAACAGACTGATTATTTAGTCACTGGTTAACGGTAAGCAACTTACCTTATATTCACCAGCCTTTTTACGTAACTCTAAAACCTCTCGATACCACGAATCACTTTGCGGTAGCTCAGGCATTGCATCAGGTAAGTGAACTGCATCAGCCTTCTTCAGGAACTTCCCTTCTACATAATCATACTGTGAGAATGGGCGGAACTTTTTCTTGTATTCTGTCTTAATTTCCTTCCTGCAGTATTGAAGTAGAAAAGATTGCTTTTTAACTTCTTTATTTATTTTAAGACCAAGCAAATGCTGTACCATGTCATTTCCTCAAGTTCAAAACTGACATATTTTCAGGTATGGAGTATACAAGTTTTTGATTACACAGCATATGAGACACCCATCATTATCATGAGTTTTTGGATAAATATATTTCTTACCTGCGCCGGGGTTTTTCCTCTTTGCTCAAAATTTCATGCTGAATCTTCTCTTCTCCTTGTAATTCCTCCAGTGTTGTATCCACCACCTCTGGTCCAACAAGGGGCTCCAACTCAGAAGCCCCTAAATCAATGAAATTGTGGCTGGTATGATATAAAACATATATCCGGCAGGGGATAGAAAATTGCTTCTTTCCAAAATAAATTCTAATCAGAAACTACAACCTGCTAAATGCAATTAATTTTATAAGGATGAAAGTGTTTTTATAAGAACGTTTTCCATCTTTCACAGTTCATCCCTACGTACCTGTACAGCCTATTTTTTCTACAAGGACGTGTAACCGGAACTTATAGGTAGAACAATTTTGTGTGCTAATATAATCACATATTGATCTAAATCTGAACTTTTGCATGTCTTATGAGTTCTTTATGTTGCCATCAACCCTATTCCTTAACAAGACTGCTGAAATGAATAAAATTACATCTTTATACTATCATAGCACCGGCTATTTTTCAGCAGACTCTGTAGTTATCTTAACCTTGGTTCAAATTGTATATCAAGACATAATCCTGTAATTGCATACTGCTTTATTAATAATTGCAATTTTTACTGTGGTATGTTGTGATTTTTATTGGTCCCTGGGCTTCTGCCTCATTTTTCTAACCGTGTAAACCGTAGTCATAATCACTGAACACAAATTTACAATTCAGTTAAATAGAACTTCATTTCTTCATCTTCTTTTGTCAAACTATTAACACAGGGTACATCACAAACACACACACACATCTGAAAGTAACATAAGGTTCCAAAACAAAACACTGAAGTGTAAGACCTAACACATTAATGTTACAAGGTTCCAAGTTGTGTAGGGGCTAACTTATGTGTTTACTATATTCAAGAGTTTATTCTGATAGAAATATGAGAACAAAGACCTTTCTCTCACTCTGCTTAAAATTTCCAACTTAGTGCAAAGTACACAGTTTGCTTTCTATACATTTCTCAGCATGTGAACTGTCAGGCAGTAGCCCACTCATTTCTCTTAAGGTGTTCATGATACTCAAGTGATGTCACTGTCCCCACACAAGAACAAATTTTGCTCAGAAATACTATGAAAGCAAAATTTCTAAGCGATGCACACACACAACAAAAACAGACAGAACTATCAGTTGCTTGATGTAGTAGTGGTGAAAATATAAAATACAGTTCTGGTTCCTATAGATTTTGGTGTCTTTTGATTTCACAGTGCACCTCTGTCATTAGGTTTTCCTTTGACTTTGGTAAATTTTATCTTTATTAAGTGAGATAAGTAACTGTATACTAGGTCAGTTATAGGAACACCATGACATCTACTAGACAACATTGTAGTATGTAGAGAACCGTTACAAGTTTATGGCACAGTAAACAACTTATCAGTGTAAGTATGATTACACATGCAACAGAGGAACACGTCACATCCTCAGTGACGTCACGTAACAATGGGGAAGCTGCGGGAAGTGGTGTTGCCACACGGTCCAGCACCAGACTGACAGTGCTGCTGCAGTGGAACACGTGGTACCATGCCACCGACATCAACAGAAAAATGGTGTTTTCTGTTGGTTCCATTCCAAGGCTATATCAGTTGACAGGCTGAGTTGAGTTCACTGAATGGACTGGAGTGATTTGGTTGGTGAGTGAGTTAAAGGATTTTTGGGGTTCAGTCCTTGTGAGCCATTGTTGTTAGAAGCTGGTAGCTGAGACACAGGGATAGTTTCGAAACCCAGAGTAAGGGGAACATCTGTAGCTGAAGCCACTACCAGGAAACGACTGGTGAAGACACAGCAGACTGAGAAGACTTAGTGCATGCTGTAGTGAACTTCAGAGTGTGTGAATTAGCATTAGCACTATAGTTACTTGTTGTTATGATCTGTAAGTTTTCAATAAATCCAATTTCTAATCCAAGTCCCGTGTACAGTCACTCATATGCATGGCAATATTATTCTCATTACATGTCTGGCTTATGTTTCTCATTCATATGATGCTCCTATTTGACCCAATGCAGATAATTATGAAAAACAATGGAAAATATCTGCAAACTAAGCAGGTCAACGTTATTCATATTGGCGAAGAAAGAACAAAAGACTATCACTTCGTATGTGATCAGTGAGTGAGAACAAAGTTCATGTTCTTACAGTCTGGGAATGGCTTCATAACACAAACCAGGTGTCTGCTTGCAGATTATGAGAATTACAGGAAAACACAAGCACACACACATACAGTAACATTAATTTTTATCTATACTGAATAATTTTGTAACACCAGGCACTAGGTTAGACTTTCAATTATAATTAATCTACAAATAACAGCTGGAAAAATCAGTAGACACAGTCTTCCTTGTGCTTAATTAATTAAGTGGCCAGTTTCACAGCCCTGCTGATTTACTTCCAGAGGAAAGAGAACCTGGTGGCCACTGGATGTGCTGGGTGGGCAGGGAAGAGAAAAATTTCTTGCCTATATGAACCCATATTAATTGGCTGGCCAGTCCATAGCCCGTTGTTATATCGACTGAGCTATCCCATCTCCGTAACAGCCCCATGATACTAGTATATCTTTTTAATTTACTTCCACGATGCTGTTAAGACACGAAGCCGAATTCCGGTTCATATGCAAGTTATTGTGAAGACAGGAATAATCATCAGGGCCCGGATTTTGATGGCCTGAAAATATTTAAAAAATGGCCTATAAAATGACCGAAAAAATCCAGAAAATGACCTAAAGGAGAAAGAGAAAGAACTCTTCGCTTCCATGTTATTCACATTTCAGAAAACATATGAAGAAAAATTCCCTAAGATGGCCAAAAATGTCAAGAAATACCTATAAAAGTCCAAAAATTTACCAAAAAATTACCCCCAAAATGAAAAAATGACCTTAAACCTAAAAATGTCAAAAAATGACAAAAAATTGCCTATAAAATTTACATTTCTGTAACCAGCAGCTCATATCCGAGATTAAGAGCATCGCATAGGATACAAAGAAAAAAAGATGACATGTCATCAAAATCCGGGCCTTGATAATCATCATTATCGGAGGAGGTACCAAGTATTCATAGTATAGATTTTGGACAGATTCAGCAACAATGAGGTTGATCCAACTTTTCTGAAGTAACAAGAAATTTCCGTTCCCACGTCTTCTATGAGATATTTCAGTCTTCTTGGCACACGGTAACGTAGTTGGTTGAGGCACTATGCTACAAGCCGGAAGGTTACGGGTTCGAGTCCCGATGCGGTGGATATTTTTTTCAGTTTACTTATCCTTCCTGCTGCACTATGGCCCTCGGGTCGACTTAGCTTCTAACAGAAATGAGTACCAGGAATCTTCCTGGGGCTGACAACCTTACCGCCATCTGTGAGCCCTATGGGCCTCTACGATCTGTTACAGGGATAGCTTTACCGTACTTTTACCTGTACTGTAGTATGTACCAAGGTTTAGATATCATATTTAATTTCTGGGGATAGAATTGTACATACATACACACCGATCTGTACTGACACAACAAATTATAAGCAAGTACATGTTCGATATGATCGACTATAGGATGGACTAACCTTCATCGTTCTTTTCGAAATCAGCACCGCGCTTCTTGTGGACAGGGACGGGTTGAATGGCTCCCATGGAGAGGGACTTGCGGGGCAGAACGCTCCCGGTAGTGATCTTGGCGTCTTGGGTGCTGAGTCCTCTCCCGGCACGTGGCCATGCGAACTGAAGGCGATACTCGGTGCTGATCCGGGCTATAGCATTGCTAAGCGGGCCGGCGGGGGCAGGTGGGGGGTAACTGGCGATCATCTGCACATACACACATGGATGCTATTGTTGGTCTTCCCACCAGATATTAGATTCAGAATTAAGAAAACGAATCCTGACAAATTCTTAGATATAGTGAACCCGGTAGCTGAAGACCATGGAGTTAATCAAAACTACCCACGTAAATCGTTAAGGATTGGGGAGGAAGTGGTATTGATCTTCTCCAAAAACAGAGCCACACCTTGATCGCAGTACGATACCGTATGTCGCCTCTTTGTGATACATGTAAAATAACATACGTTCATTCATTCATCAATGGCTCTACAACCCTTTGTTGCCCCCTGTCCTCTTCTTCAGTTTCGTGATTTTTATGCACACACGGTAGGACTCCTTGGACGAGTGATCAGCACTTCGCAAGGCAGCTACTTATACAGGACAACAAAAACACAGAATAAATGAGCACAAACACACAGACAGACACAGATATACATGCCTTGAGTGGGGTTCGAACCCACGATCGGTGCCTTCGAGCGAGTGAACACAGTTCATGTCTTAGACCGCGAGGCCACTGTGATCGGCAAAATAACATACAAACTATCAAACTAAATCAAATCTGTTCAGATAACGACGTTATATGACAACGCAATATTATAATAATTCTGAATTTGAAATATTATTAGTCATCGCAATGCCGCCGTAACAATTTGCAACAAGGAATTTCTCAAACGGAGGAAGAGGAATAACTGCAATATGAAAGAAACCACGGAGACGACAGAAGTGGTACATTGTGGTCAGCTGTACTGCAATCCTTTACAATTCACAGATACTGTCTATATTGTAAGATTTGAGGCTTTCACGGCGGTGACTATGAAGACAGCAGTCTTCTGGGATTTGGCAGACTGTTCTCACAGACTGTACCGGTTCTCACGGTCTCTTCGCTTGCAGATTTCTTATATTTTTTCTTCTACCCTGAAGATGGAGGCAATACGTTCCTCCGAAACGTCGGTTAACACCACATATACACGGTGCCAAATCCCAGAAGACTGCTTTCTTCACTGTCTATATTATTAAGATGTAGAAAATATTAATAGAATAGATATATTCGCCCGATCTCTTTGGAATTTGAAACCAAGTAGTGGTAGATACAAGAAAGATACACAACTTGAAACTAAATTCAAAGACAGTCTCTCCACAGTGTAATTCCTTGTTAAAAACAAGTTAAAAATTTTGTTCTGTGACGTTTAGTTTTCAAGAAACACGACCCCTTGGTGCAAGTCATTGAATAACCACACCACGGGCGCCTCGCAGTTACAGTAGGGGTTCGAAGCGCCTCCTTAAACAACGATCACGTGGAAGCACATGTGCGCTCCGGGAATAGTGAGTGGTATGGATGCAACTGATAAATCTTTAACTACCTCGAGGACCCTCGCTTTAGATAGTTTGTTTTCTTAAGGTGGGGTGAGACTGAGTCCACTTGGTACTGCGGCCACTACTGGCCCATTGTACCTTCCCTGGATGACAGATGATGAATTTGGAGCAGTCGGTGGAATGAAAACTGGCAGGGGATACTGTAATACTTGGAGAAAACCTGCCCCAGTGTCACTTTGTCCACCACAAATCCCACGTGACCTGACCTGGGCTCGAACCCAAGCCGCAGCTGTTGGAATGCCGACGACTAACCGCCTGAGTTATGGCACGGCCACTCACTTGAGACAGTCTTATGTTTTAGATATCACGTGAGGTTTGCACGGCTCTCTTTACAGCATCTCAGTTGGCTGGTGACGTCACAGTCCACGGATGACAAGCGTTCACGCATGCCGTAAGCGTTATAATTCCTGTGTCACGGTGACGTTTCTGCAATCGCCGAAATACATTAGCGTCCTGATGACGATGACCAGCATAATAGCCTGTTCCCATGTAGCAATACCAACTCGACTATTGCAAATACCGAGGACTAAGAGCACATTGCAGTATTCGCCATGTGTATATTCCACTATCAAGCTGATTCATCGCTCGCGGATTTTTCTTCCTTGAAGATGGAGGAGATACGTTACTTCGAAACGTCGGATCACACAAAATCTACATGGTACATCCTAGAAGACGGAATTCTTCGGAAAACACTTTGTTTTCTTTAGCGAAAAAAAAAGAAGCAAGAAACACGGCAAATGGGTCGCAGTGTTGAGAAACTGAACTGTTTTCCAAATAACGTTTTGTTGTGACTCAGGTCTCCTTTTCGGAGCCGCGTGCGTCAGCACGGATTTTCTGCTTCTCATTGTGCACCGAATGCCTAGCAACATTACAGTACTTCTTTCAAAACGGCACTACCCAATATATACATAACTTTCCCACTCAAAGAAACACAAAAATGTTCAACCGTCGACTTCTCTTAAGGAATTCATCATTCAAGGTCCACTTTAAGCATTTTTTATAAAGACATTATAAAGACATTGTTGTATAATTTAACCCAAAGCAATTAGTACTCGTAAAACATATTCACTACTTACACTAAGTACACTACACGTCAACGGACACATGTTATCCTTTCGGGCAATGATAGTTCTGTATGACAAGGGACAGTCGCCCTGGTTTGGCCGTGAATAGAAAGGAGATCTTTGACTCTGCACTCTTACAAACTCCGTGGCCTGTAGTCCGCAAGTGAACTATACCGAGCGACCGCGAAGTTAATGCCAATATTTGGGGATATAGGGTGTCACGTGGTCAACGCAACGGATCCCCACGGCCGTTAATCTCGGTTTTCTAGACCGGAGCCGCCATTTCCTTCAAATAGCTCCTCAATTATCCTCACGAGGCTGAGTTCCAGACTCACTACTTCTCAGAAAATCTTGTAGCGCCGGGAATCGAACCCGGGAACTCTGGATCTGTAGCCAGGAACTCTGACCATTAGACCACAGAGGCGGTCTACACTGTCACTGTCGATGTACAGTATATTAGAAGGGCCTCCATCAAGAAAGTTGCGGCTCTAGCACTGAAGATACGGCCCTTTTGAAGTGCCCTAGTAGTGGTCTGAGTGCTGAGTGTGAAGAGACGTTGACCCCATATCAGTAATCAATAACTTAGATTTTTAGACCCGAAGAAGAACTAATTTTGTGGACACGGGCTGTCAGTCCGTATGTACACGTACATTAAAACGACAGAATAATATACCAGAAAGCTTACACCTACTAGGATTTAAATGTTTCGTGAGTTCATAAATTTATATATATGCACTTGATTAGTACAATCATTGTCACGGCCGACAACTCATTGGCCCATCTAACGAGACTATTCCAAAGTCGTCAGCTACTGCTCGCGGTGTCGTGGTTAATTGCAGTCAATTTATTTTATTCAATCCAGTTCAGAAAGCTAACGTTTATATAATTATCAAATATATCGTGCTTTTCCCCCCTTTTCTGCAGGTCGTCCACCCACGAAACATTCAAACAACGACTGAGGAACCAAAATATTTATCGATTTGGAAACTACATCAGACGTGTCTGTTTCTGCAGCTGTAATCTGAAAATTTCGCTCATCCGCCATGTTGGAATTAGGTGACTTTCTGAATGAAGCACGGATGTGGGGTAACCTTCGCGACGTAGTACCAAATTTCATGATAAACCTGCATTACTTGAAATGGTAATAAGGGGATTAGACATGCACAGAAATTGATAACGTAAGGTTTTGTTGCGTGATAAAGTTATGAAAGAGAACTCAGATTTACGCGATAGTTACTGTACGAAATATCTTCTGGGATGTGACACCGTCTAGTCTGGAAGAAGCCTGAGATGGAGGCAGCACGTTAATCCGAAACGTCGGCAAACTTTCAAGAGACTACACGGCGTCATATCCCATAAGGCCATACTCTTCGTAAAATGACTATTGTGTCTTAAACGTATATAACACTGTTTCACTATTAACGTCCACATTTAAAAATAGGAAAAATTATGTTTTAACTTGCATACTTAGTGACATACATAATATAGACCAAATCGCACCTATCTTGGAACTAAAATTTATTATATTTTCTTTCAAAACAAAATTACTCCTACCTACAAGTCATAAAGCATATCTGGGTTTTGGAGACACGTTTCATATTATCAGAACGAGAACTGGAAAGGTGATGAATATTTAGCTTCAGGCCCCGATCGTTTGTAACTTTTGGGAATGGATCGCTGGTTTAAAGTCTCAATTAGCATTCCATTGACCGCCTCTGTGGTCTAGTGGTCAGAGTTCTTGCCTACAGATCCAGAGGTTCGGGCTCGATTCCCCGCGGTATCAGATTTCCTGAGAAGTAGTGGGTATGGAACGGGGTCCACTCAGCCTCGTGAGGATAATTGAGAAGCTATTTCAAGGAAATAGCGGCTCCGGTGTAGAAAACCGAAACTGTGGGGATCCGTTGCACTGAACACGCGACACTCTCTATCCGCTAAAGTTGGCACTAACTTTGTCGACAAGCGGCGGTCGCTCGCTCGGTACAGTTCGCTTGCGGATTAAAACCAGGGAGTTTTTTTTTGTTAGCATTCCATTCTTTTGCGTCTCGTAATGAGTTTCAGGTTGATAACGCAATTTATTTTAAAATTACAAATTGTTCAACATACGGATCAGTAAAAATACGATGGATCAACTGCTTATTCCACATTCTCTAAAATCGTCAGATAGTTGGCTTCCAGAAAACATGTGACTCAGTTTGGGGAGAAGCGCCGTGTACAATTCTCATTTCATTCCGTATGTCCAATAACCTAGCTTTGTTCGTTAAAATGTGTTGAAACGAAACGTACAGTAAGCATCGCATAAATCAAGATCTCTGTGACAATTTCCCATACACAATGATCTGATGCAAGATGATTTATCGCCACTGTCTTTCAATTTTATTTTGATCTGAACCTTCAGGAAAGTCCAAGAACATGGGAATGGACTCGAATCGAATGGAACGCAGCGGTTCCTTCTGCTCTAAGCCGATGACTTTATCGACTGAAAAAATAAGGTAAAAAAAATGTAGAGCTGTCTCTGCGTTTAACCAATTAAACACTACGCCAGGAAGACGT